ATATTTACACAAAATCTTATCAATTTATTTGTCTTTACTGTGCTCGATATCGCTGATAAAAATTGTTTAGGGTAAGTACAAAGCAAGGGGAAAGTTTTAGTCATTCAAAACACTCGGCAGTACTTCTTTTTTCTATATTAAATTAAATATTAAAAGTGTAACCTTTATGAAAAAAATAATGAATTCTTTTTTTAAGGTTTTCATGTGCTCGGTCAACTTATGTGACTGGGAAATGACGTGATTTGTTCGTTCGAATATTTCCAGGTCTGCTTAGGAAAGGTGAAAGCCGCGAACATCGTGTTTAGAAAATTGAGTTAGTTGCCGACGTGAGGAAAAATTATCATTAGTTAGATCCCTCTAATATTAACACGTGACTGCCACGGTAGTCGCTTACAATCTTTCTTCCAAACGTTTATAATAAATTAAGAACGTTATAAAATGGGCAAATGTACCATTAAATCTTCTTTTAACGCTACAGTTTGAACAAACGTCGAATGCAGTTTTAAACATGGGAAATAGGCGTGGCAGGCAATGCGTTAATATTGGCGACCGCAGACCGTTTCTATTTACTTCGACTCGCTGGACGGGAATATCGGATTTCGTACGGTGTTTGTTTTGCTAGCTTCCAGACAGCATAAAAGAAGGACTCTGGAAAGACGTTCGACGCAGAAACCGATTCGTATCTAAGAATTTCTTGCGTAGGATGCAGATACAGAATACCGAGCTCGCTGAAACCCGTTAAAACTATATTCCCAGATATAGAGTAACAACGTTGTTTTCTTTGTACTTGAGTCGCCCTCGAACGTCGAAACATAGCATTCGTTAGCTAAAGAAATAATAAATGAAGATATATTTAGTTCTTTAGAAACGAAGTCCCCTGAATATTTTGTACATATATGTACACCGGGGAGCAAAAGAAGTCGTTCTGACGTCACATAAGCGTGAATTCCCATATGTAGAGGTTATGGTAATATATAGAATGTTTCAACAAGAAAACGGGTACTCTGTATGTGCATATATTTTTTCGAATGGTAGAATATTTAAATAACAGAGGCTCGTACATCGAAAGAGATCGATATCCGTAAAATTTTGCATCTTTAATTTAATAGTTCACGAACTTTGCAGAAACATGCGAGCCACGAAGAGGTTAGGGAATGGAGTTCGTTGTTTCTCAGGTAATTTCATCCGTCCAACGAGTTTATTGGTGCAGAAAAATTGCGACGTATTCCTATTGGATAGTCGCATTGCGATTGGCTCCACCCTCGGCTGCATCGAGCCGATGAGTTTATCAAGAGGTGCAGCGACCGGCATTTAAGTGACCCGTATTTGAAATTCGTTATCTCGTAAGCTCCACAAGCTTGCGAGCAAATTAATGATACGATCGAATCGATCGACGCGTAAATGTTATATGCAAATTGAAATCGCGTGCCGGGTATCCAGTCTCTCGGCTAATTTTGAACGTTCACGTGCTCGATAAAGCGTCCATTAATATTTCGATCGTTCGGTTTCGGATCATATTCGTTGCAGGGGGCGCGGCGGTCCTCCACGAAGCTTGAAAACCACTGGTTTATGAGCGTCGCGAGGAGTTTAGCGGTCCGACAACAAATTCGGGCGGTTAGGTAGGTGGGAATATTTCGACCTTTGGCATCGTTAGGGTAAAGGAACGCGTTCACGAGCATTGGCTCTCTTAACTCAGCGCTCTCCATATCGCATGTACGTGCAATTCTAACTTGCCAAATTGCGTCCTAGATCACGGGCGTCCCAATTCCCGCGTCCTCCATCGCGCCATGTATTTCTGCATAGAAATGCTCGAAAATTTCGGTTCTCGTCCATTTTTTCGAACCATTAAAAATTTGCTCGCCACATACGATTTTACGTAAAAATCATTTGATCGAGACACGGCCAGAGGCTGCTTTTCAATGTAACCTCGAGCGTCGTCGTGCATTTTAATGATCGTGATTTTCGAGAAATAAAAGTAATCGTCGAAGATTCCTTTCCAGGGTGAATTACAGGAAGTCAGAGACGGTTTGAATTACGAATGAGCTGCAAGCTTTTCAACCCCTTTTCCGCGCTTCTATATAGAACACATGGTTCAATATATACATACTTCTGATGCTTAGGGTCATATGGCACGTGTTCGACGGTATCGATCTCTCCTTTCCATCCTACTTTACGTTCTAGTACCAACTCCTAAACAGAGAACGGCCCGATTCCACTCTTTATCTGTCTCCATTCATTTGCATATCCAGACGCGAAATTACAGAGCACCAGTCGCTGTCGGACTTATGCACAAAAGAACTACCTTCGACGAGAAATCTATAGTTTACAAATTTTTGTATTTATTCTTTATATTCACTAAATTTAATATTTTCGAATTTATGACCGCCAAACAAATATATTCTATGTATTACGTATAATGTATATAAAAATGTTATGTAGGTTTCGTTGGCGGTATAATGTTTATCATTAACGTGCTTTATGTTTTTCTTATCTTTTCTATTAATCCAAACATTTATTTTCCCTATCGTTCTGGTATAATCCTCAGTCATCGTTGATTACTCTTCACCGATAAAGACCAGATCACTGTTCGAAGCGTTTAAGTATTTATTTAAACCAGCTTGTTGAAGGTACTTCGGTGATCGATTGAAATTTTATAGCGCTCGATCCCGTTGAGCAGGCCCGATATCGGCACATTTTGTGTGTTTGCATTTAGACTGTGAACTCGGGGTCTAAAAATGGATCGTCAGAATCGGAACTACTCAGCTTTATCCTCTTTCCGCAACGAAATCGCATTACGTAAATATTTGAACTCCAAACAAACATCGATTTTGTTCGTATCTTCGGCCCCGTGTATTCTTAAATCGCGCGCAGGGTGGCAGAAGCCAGAGGCACATCACTTTATAGGTCAGCCGACGTGTTCGTGATTATCAGTCCCTTTCTTCCCCCCGGCCTGCATCCATTAGAATTTCATCTGGTCGAGTTGGTGTTCACGAGGACGACGGGGGGTTTGTAAAAGAATAAATCGCTAAAAATAAATAGAATCGAGTGTGTTCTCGTACCGGGGAACGGATTAACGCGTTCCACCACCGTCGGTCGCACCTACGGTTTTCGTGGTTCGCTTTTTGGCGACCGATCGGTTTCGAAGATTAATTTACTGCGAGAGCCGGCTACGAACTTCTATTTTCTACCGAAACGAGAGTCGAAAATCTCGGCAGCACCGCGCAAAAAAAAACGTTCGTCTCGCTGTATTTATAACCTCGATCGTCCAGCGTTCAACGCACTCGAGGAAAGAATTTTCTTCTTCAATTTTTCGACGAATTTTTGCGTGGAATCGTAAACACTTCTTGGAGCATGCGAAGGGTGGGTCGTGAGTCGATCTACTCATTGTTATCGAGTGAAAAGTTTCAAAATTTTTTTTTTTTTTCTCGTGACGGAAATGTTACTGTAAAATTGGTGTCAGATGTTAGAGATCGTTTACGTACAGTACGTCGTACAAGAAAAATGTTTATTCGCGAAATATGTGTATGTACGTCATGACTCATGTGTACGAACATAACCTTAGTTTACAAAGCGCGAAGCGTCTTCGACTATTTTCTAAAATTATATATGCACGTCATGGGTCGAACATGTTGATTTATGAAACCTGGATATTATTTTTTGGTTAATTGAGGAAGTATACCAAGTTGGGTGAAAGGTCGAGGTTTAGCGAACTAGGCTATTCCATAACCTAACCTAACTTTGTACTAACATATAGTTTGACTTGATAATAATTATGAACGAAAGGGTTCTAACAAATACACGAAAATGTAGTATTACGGAAAATGGGAAGGGATAAAAATAACGAGCTGCATGTTTAATCCTCGGACGGTCAGTTCTGGGTCTCTTTTTACCCATCTCTTATAAAATATTAGACAGATTTGTGAAATTTATTTCCTAACCTCCAAATAATCTAGTTTAGCGTCACTTTTGTTTGCAATTTTTTAGTATACTAACATACAATTTTGATGGGGGAACTGTATCTGAAGTATTCAGTCCCCTTTTGAATTTTCAAGGCCATTGATATTACGTAAATTGTAACCTTACATTGACCTTGAACTCCAAAAAAAAGTTCGGGCCGGAAAATGAGCTTACGATGCATTTTAATTCTTTTGTCGAAACAATACAAGCTCTAATTATTCTATCAGTCATGTTTTCTGGAATGGATCCTTAAATATAATGCATTTTCCTTTAGCTGTCCCTCGCGCTTCAAGTAACGTATCGTGAAACATTTATCGATCAACCGTTGGATTACTTTAGTACTCTCGTGGCAAGCAGACCTTGCACGTATCTGTACTGCGTATCTTGGTAAACATGATTGTGCACATTCGCAAATCATATTCTGTCCTGGCTGGCATCTAGTGTTTCAAGGTCATTTTAAGGTCTCATTCTACGCAGGGCTGTTTCCATATAAAGAAAATATCAATTCCGAAAAGAAACAAAATTAAATCTTCTGTTTTTAGGTTAGTTTTAAACGCAAGATATTTTATTGGTACAATAAAAATTGGTCGGTAACGCGTTACCGACCGGTACAGAAAGTCGGTTAATACCAGGTCGGTAAAGCGTTAAGTATTTGGTATATGTTGAATGCTTTGTTTCTCGCTCGCTGTCCTTTTCTTAAAGAAGTTAACGGCGACTCCGAGACTCGATGATATCGGTGTGTAAAAATATCTGCTGGCGTCGAATTTCGTCTCGACCGAGGCGATGTTTACGTTAAGAATCATTACCGTACCGTTCCATTAGCATCGTCCCTTATACGGGACGCTACGATCGAATGGGTTAAAGAGGTTAAGAACTCTTATCTAACGATGCCTGTCGGGATTAGTTCTCCTCGGCTTCGAATTGTACGTCCACGCAGGGAACAGTTTACTACACTCGTGAAAACCAGATGCCCCCAACGCTATCCAAGCCCTATCTCCGTCGTATGCCTCTTGACGTGTGCTCGTATGTTCTTCCCGATAAAGTCACCTACACGGGGGCGTCTATCGTGCACGAGGGCCAACCTTGGACGATCGAGTGCAGCGGTCTGAAGCCGGACGATATGATCAGATGGACCAGAAACGGACAGTCGCTCGAGCCGGAGTTGGCGAGTGGTCAGTTGGTCGTCAACTCGGTGGTGGGCACCGGAAGCAGCACGCTCCGGGCGACGCACGCCACCGCCAACCATGACGGGGACTACAAGTGCTCGCCGGACAGCAACGATGTCTTTCATCTGTGGATATATTTCGGTTCGTATGCTCGTGTTTCTACGGCCATGTTTATACAGCAATGCACAGTTAACTTTCCCAAAAAATGTTGGGTCTGACGGTGAAAATGACACGGGGTAGCGTATTCTTTTTTTTTTTAAATGACACCGATGCACCCCTCAGATCCTTACGATTAAAACGAGTCCAAACACGACACAATTTGGATTACTTTTTAATTTCGTTTTCAGAGAAAGTTAACCGTGCATTATTTTACTAAGAGCGTGCCCGTGCACCTCTAGGTTATCTGGGCCATCTTTCGCGAGTCTCGTATCACTATTCGAGCCCCCTTTGCTCTTGAGGTACAAATGTATTGTATGGAGCTACAAAGATTGCACCCGATGAGAAAAGTACTCGATCTGTTCTTCTCTGAGTTCAACTTACTTTCAGAAGTCGTATTCACTGAATATTTTTTCTTTAATTGCATTGTTAATGTACAATGAAGGCGTATGGTAGTCACAGTACATGCATTATAAAACACAAACACAATGAATGCTTCCTTGCTGCGGTCCCACTTTTTACTTTTCGCTTTTTCCAAATATGCAACACTCAGCCACCCCTGGGAAAAATTTGAATGGGAGATTCTAGAGGCCAAAATAAGACGAAAATCAAGAATACCAATTTGTTGATGGAGGCTTCGTCAAAAAGTTATTAACAATTAAATTCAAAAATTTCAAATCGATCTGGAAAAATTATTTTCGGTTGCGTGGGTCAATTACAATCATTTTTAGTCATTAGACATACCCTCGAAATCCTACCCACTTTCGAGAAAAAAATTCGAGAATGTGTGGAATTTTTCGACAAAATTCAAAAATTTCAAATCGTTCTGGAAAAATTATTTTCGGTTGCGGGGGTCAATTATAATCATTTTTGGTGAATAGACATACCCCCGAAATCCTACCCACTTTCTAGAAAAAAATTCGAGAAGGTGTGAAATTTTTCGACGGAAAAAAAAATTTCAAATCTTTCTGGAAAAATTATTTTCATTTCCGGGGGTCAATTACAATCATTTTTGGTGAATAGACATACCCCCGAAATCTTGCGTATTTTGGAGAAAAAAATTCAGTACGAGCGGAACTTTGAACGTTAATAACTTTTTAACAAAGCCTCCATCAACAAATTGGTATTCTTGATTTTGGTCTTATTTTGGCCTCTAGAATCCTCCATTAAAATTTTTCCCAGGGTTGTCCGAACACCCTGTATATCTCAACAAGTCGAACAATTATTTAATATTCCATAATCTTTCTTCTTTTAAAAATTCACTGTTCATCTTGTACTCGTTTGAAAAAAGTATCTTGTACATTGTGTAAATAAAATAATTTCAGTAGGCGTCGAATGACGTGTTTTGAGTGATATTTTTAAACAATATTAGATACCAGTTGCTTATTTTAAAACGATATATTTTTAGTTGTTCTTTTAAACATTATCAGACGACGCCTGCTAACTAGGCTGTAGTATAAACGTCTAGTCTCATCCTCCACGCTTGAGCTACTACCTCGGGGATCTTATTAAACTTGTCGAGCTATACATCAGCAGCAGAAATAGTAAAACATCCGAAGATGCAATCAGATTCGCTGAATTATTTCAGAAACAAAGAGCAGAGTTTATAATAAACGTCGACCCAAATGTTACTGTTGCCACCCATAAAACTTTATCGGGCCCGGGCGAATAAATCCATGGGAATCCATATTAAATATTAAAAATAACACATTCTTACACAATATATGATAATGGCATCTGGAAAACAGCTGCCAAATGTATTTCTCTATTTGCCAAGAAAGAGATGGTACATTTGGGCTATGTACCAACGGTTATGTTCGCGGTGTCGACTGTTTCTATACTTTTAACGTATATATGACCACGATTCGTAATCGTCGTGGCCATTGTAAAAGAAGTTGATCGAAGAAAAAAATATTCGACGAACTCCGCTTAAACTTGGAACCTCGAATATACCAAACCAACCCTCGATTACTTATATATCGCAAAATAAATTACTGCGATTACTTACATTTCTAAATTTATGGAATTAGTACGCTCAGTAATAATAATAACATGCACCTGGGACTCGTAAGCTACCATTTTGCAAAAGTAGGTTAAATTCGAAGGGGAACAGATTGAATTATTCCTTCATGAAAGCAATCAATCTTTCAGCCCATAACCCGCATTTCCACGGTACCCGATTAACCTTGAATTTATTAACACGTTGATCGCCAGAACTTTTTACCAAGTGGCTAAAAATATTAATTTGTTAAGACAACGAGTGTTGAACAAGACTCGTTAATTGTGTCCAAAAGCAGAATGTTGATCACGCTGAAAATTTCGCGAATTTAGTCTGGCGAGTCAACGTGTTAAATTTGAAAAGCTCATAAGCGCTTAATGAAAACGTTTCGTTTGAACTGGCGGGGGCTGTGTTTGCGTACGGTCGCACAATATCGAACGTTCGTACAGCGAAATATACAGAGACTCGTGAAACGACCCGACACTTCAGCTTGCTTGCTCTATTTGCTGCATGTTTGGCAATGCGTGTGTACCCTGCATAACGATGTTTTTTTTTTTTTACGTAGACACGGTGTGGTGGTGTTTGTTTGCGTGGCGCTTTGTTGCATGATGGAACTCTAACCTCAAATATCTGAATGCTGGCGTTGAAAAACGGCGGGGAAATTAAAAGGGGCGTGAATGGTGTACGGTTTCTTAAAACTTCGAATAAAATAAGAAGCGTGGCGCGACGAATGCCTGAGACGCGTCACGCAGCTTAAATGCTGCTATGGCGTACCTAACCTCGACTAGATATTTCCTCAAGATGGCGGCAACCACTGTTGGAGCGAAGAAGTCGGAGAGCTAAGAAAGAGATACTCCTTTTATACAGGGGGTTTCATAAAACTTTAACGAGCTTATATAGTTTGCAGTATGAAAAGAATGTGTAAGAAAATGTAGAACACGTTTAGATGTTCTTATTTCTTAAATATTGTTATGCTATGTGTGCACTTACAAAATGCATCTAATTTTGTTATAAGCCGATTCTTCTGATCATTCTGAGTCTAAAAATATTAAGCATTCACTGATACTTTTATACACAGAATTATTAAAAGAATCGATTAATTAAAACAAAATATATTTCCATTAAAAAAACACTTGCATCTTGTATATGCAAGCATGTACAACAATGATGCAGATTTAGAACATCAAAACCCATTCGATTTTATCTTATGCCCTTTTTTCATATTTCACGTCCTACTCAAGAGGTGGCTCCTCGAAGTTATTAATATGCAAAAACTCTCGAGAGTGTTTTGTATTTTTAACTGTAAAAGTTTCAGGTGCTTTCGTTACCCAGCATATTCCAACATTGTTTCAATCCCATCGTCTGTAAATTACTCGAATCGTTCAGGAACGACTCGTTCGTTACGACGATGTTTAAAAGTAGTTTCCTGGGACTGAAATATTAGTCGTTCGAATAGACCGATGATTGCTTTCTCCGTTGCTTGTTGTCTGCGTGTTCGATTGAATTTTTACGATTTAACGAAACAAAAGGGTCCAGCGATTGTACAGCCAACCGTCGTCTTTGCTGTTGATCAAAACAATTCAGTAGCTTTAATAATTTTCCAGCTGCAACGGTTACACGTTGTGACGCAAATGGTAATTAATCGTGATTAATATCTATGGTACGCCAACGTTACTGCGTACCAACTGTAAATAGAATAATAACTTGCAGCGGTTTTTGTAGTGCTTGCTACTAAATAATCGAAAAGGTTCTTTTTTACTTGTATTATTATAATAGATGATGGGAAAAATTTTAATGGGAAATTCTAGAGCCCAAAATAAGACGAAAATCAAGAATATCAATTTCTTGACTGAGGCTTCGTTAAAAAGTTATTAACAAATAAATTCAAAAATTTCAAATCGTTTTGGAAAAATTATTTTCGGCTGCTGGGGTCAATTACAATCATTTTTGGTGAATACACATACCTTCGAAATCCTACCCATTTTTGAGAAAAAAAATCGGGTAGGTTCTGAAATTTTTCGGCGAAAAAAAAATTTTTCAAATCGTTCTAAAAAAATTATTCTCGCTTGCGGGAGTCAATTATAATCATTTTTGGTCATTACACATACCCTCGAATTCCTACCCACTTTCCAGAAAAAAATTCGAGAAGGCGTGAAATTTTTCGACTGAAAAAAAATTTCAAATCTTTCTGGAAAAATTATTTTTATTTCCGGGGGTCAATTACAATCATTTTTGGTGAATAGACATACCCTCGAAATCCTACACATTTTCGAGAAAAAAATTCTGTACGAGCGGAACTTTGAACGATAATAACTTTTTAACAAAGCCTCCATCAACAAATTTGTATTCTTGATTTTCATCTTATTTTGGCCTCTAGAATCCCCCATTAAAATTTTTCCCAGTGGTGGCTGAACACCCTGTATTTAGATGTAAGTTATTATGTTAACAGATTAGTTTATTCCTGTTTGACACCAACAAATATTTCTGTTGTTGGGAAGCATAGAAACGTTCCTCTGTATGATGTAATTCGAGGTTGCAGTGGTTGGTAAATTGTTCATATCAGAACTCAAACTTTGGAAAGTCTTGAGGATGTTCGTTTCTTGCCGACTGACTGCAACCGAACGACCTACATTTAGAATTAAGTGATACAGCAATGTATGCTGTGTCTGACACTTTCTGTAGAAGTTACTTTCTAATTTTAAGGTCCTTAGATGGGCAAATATACCATTAGGTTTGTTCCTGCTTCGTGGAATTCTTAAATAGCAGTAAAAGTTGTTGCTCCACTTAGTTCGTTTAGTAATTAAGTATAGAAAAGTTTTGAAGATCCTCTCGAAATTCGTGACTGCAATTAATGAACGTGCCAATCAGTGATTATTTCAATGTTCGTAACTGATTAAAATTAAAGTTGTTTTCTAAAGAAACGTTAAATTTTTCATTACGAGATAATTAATTAAGAGATTGTTACCAAGCTTACCATGCGAATCGTTCTTAGTTTATCAAGTATAATTAAAGTACGTGGTATTACAGGTGTATCGTTGTTTGTATTTTATCCACGAAGATGATAAATCGATATCTGTAATGCTGTTATTACGCGTTCGAGAGATAACAGCTCGCTGGACTTGTTTGATAAGAACGTTTGTTAAAAGATACCGTGGAAACTTGCAGACGTTTCACGAATTTCGAAAAATATGTTACGTAATTGCAACATAACGAGTAGACGAAGGAAGTTTCAACAATTTGGTCGTATTTAATGACTGAGATTAAACAAATGTCGTAACTGAAAATTAAAAACAATTTATGCAGGTTGTTACATAAACGGGTGTCGATCTTCCAGGATATAAATCTATACAATAAAACGAGTAAAAAAATTTTAGTGGCAGTCTAAACCTATTTCTATGTGCTTTGGAACTTCTAACAAAATTGCATCGAATAAGCTCCTTTTTTAATCTTTCATATTTTTAATATCAGCCTGTATAATCTTTCTTATTTTCAGTATAACATATTATACATCTTATAACCGCAATGATTACCAACGTATCGCTAAACTTAAATTTAGAAAATGGTTATTGACTTGTTGCTGAGTCGAGAAGGGGAAAGAAATGTTGGTGCTCTAATACGATTCATCCTCTGTGGCACAGACGTGAAGATCAGAGTACTTACACCCGAGGATACGCCTTTGGTGATGGAGTGCGCGAACAGGACCGCCGGTGCCAAGGTGGCTTGGTTCAAAGATGACGTTCCAATATATACAGCGTTATCCGACAACGAGGACGACATCAAGTTGGACAATGACACAGGCACCCTAGAGCTTCTGAAGAGCGACGACGACTTGCTTGGAAATTATACTTGCAAAGCACACAATTCCTCCACAGAGTATAGGATCGTACGTGAGTATCCCTTGCCAATAATTCTTCCCTACTCAATTCAGAACCGTGCAAATTTTGCGATACTTGAAATTTTAACGATATTGAGTTCCGTTGCTTCCCGTACTCGCCGCCAGAGGGACCGTTCCTCTCGCAAGCGCTCGACCGACCTTCCGTCTGCATATATATGCTCCTCGATCGACTCCCAACGTCCCAGCGCCTGCTAGCTACGATTCCTTATGCCTATCACCATCCTTTTCTTTTCCATCTCCTCCACAGAACCCCCAAAGATACTTCTACCCCAATTTTATGTATAAATATTTCTACCAAAACGTGTCTTTGAACATCTTTGCATTTGAATGGAGATATTCATTAACGCTGAAAATATTTTTCGGTTACAGCGAAACCCACCGCACACATGATCGAGTCTATCAGTGTGGTGGAAGGAGAGAAACTGACTTTGGTATGTGGCGGCAAGCAGAGTCCTGGTATTAAAGTATCATGGACGTTCGGAGATCAGAACTACACTCGCAGCAAAGGTCGCGTTAAGATCGGCCGTGACCCGGAGAAAGGCATCTACGGCACCGTCCTCACTGTCGAGAACATCGAGATGAACGACCGCGGCAACGTCTACTGCAGGGTATCGTACAACTGGTCCGACTACGACCAGAATCACGAGGCAGAGGCCCATACATTCCTTAGGATCAAAGACAAGCTCGCAGCCCTCTGGCCCTTCCTAGGCATTTGCGCGGAGGTCGTCGTTCTGTGCGCCATCATCCTAGTTTACGAGAAGAAACGAAATAAGGCTGAACTCGAGGAATCAGACACCGATCAGAGTCCTGACACGTACGTAATCCCCTTCATTCAACGTATTCTATCATCTGTGTTCATTTGAAATCAAAACATTCGACGAAGTTCAGGGGACTTTCCGTGTGTCTCCGGTTGAACAATGGGGAGCAGCATATTTTGTACTTTTTTTCTTAGGGAAATGCGTGACAGAAAATCGAAACATTTTGTGCTAGTTAATAACATAAATTCTGGATAGATATTTATTAATTAAATACAGTATAATAGGTATAAAAACGAATTAAGCTTCAACGATATTTTCGCAACAGTTCGGTATTGCGAAACAGTTGGCGTCCCTGGCGACGCCATCTTACATTTCTAGGGTTAATTACTAAGCGTCGCTATATGTGTCTTTATTTAGAGATCTTTGCGGGAGACCGATAGACAAGAGATTGGAATATTACATTCCGTTGCGTGGACCTCTTCCGCCCTCCGAACTTCCAGTCGATCCTCCTGTAACACCGCCAACGCCAGAGTTCCCTGGTTACAAGACCATCCAGTTACGTTCCTCCTCCAAAGAACACCGTCGATCGTCCGCCCCGGCACGATTGAATTTCTCCCGTTATTTCCTTAAGACGATTCCCATGAAGACGTGTCGCCGTTATCCGTTCTACTGGAATTCCCATAAAAGAGAGCAACGCAAAACTATAACAACCGAAGAACTAATGTGAACTCGAATCAAGTACTTTAGTACTAATACTACTACTGCAAAGAGAATTTAATACGGTAGATAGAGAATCGAAAAGTACTAGACTCGTGTCAAGTCAGCCAACATGTGGCAGTCTAACCTAACTTTATTTCGAAAGACCAATCTAACCTTCATCTAACGTGATTGTATTTATTCGCTGTTTAAAACGCAAAGTTTAACAAGTTCAAGATAAAGTTCGTGAATTAATAATTTACAGCTAATACATCGTATTCGACAACGAAATGACATAATTTTCTGTCATAATTCATAAATCTATCAAAGCCATCATCCTAATCGACTTTATTATATCTTAAATCTATCAAGAGTTCCAAACTTCGAATCGTATTCGAGTCTTCCTAACCATAAAAACTTCGAACCGTTTCAAAGCTGAGAATCGAACTGGCCGTCACTGCTGCCAACGTAACAGTATTGCCGCGTATCGATTCGTTGCGTGAATTTCATCCTCGCGAACCCACGTGACTCGTGTTGTTGTCCAGCTGCGCGAAGATGGCTTTGTCTGATTATTTTCGTTTTGTTCCGCAGCAAGGCAACGCCCAACAAGGATTCCGAGGTCAGGCAGAGAAAGTGAAACGGCGAGGAATAAGCGGCGAACGAATGAGAGCGATGCAGGATAGCAGAATGGATATGGGGAATGATCGTGGCGTCTTGCCCGGAGTGACAATAGATGATAGCTGTACAGAGAGGAGATATATAGAAAGAGAGAGAGAGAGAGAGAGAGAGAGAGAGAGAGAGAGAGAGAGAGAGAGAGAGAAAGGGAGCGAGAGAGAGTGAGAGAGGCAGAGATAACGGGGTAATAAAGTTCCGAAACGAGAAAGACATCGTTCGAGAAAACGAATAAAGAGAAATAATAGAAAACGGTAAACCGTTCAGACAGTGGACAGAGAGATTATAATAATAAAGCTCGAGTGACGGGAACGAGGAGTCCGGTCGTTCCGAGTGCGTAACCTGCGCGACACACAACCAGGGCTCGTCTGTGCACAGAGAACGCAGCATAGCGCGCGTGCGCGGGATATTACAATTTACTAACAAATTAAATTAAGCCTTACTATCGTGTTCACTCCATTTATCAGATGTTTCGCCTGTCCGTACTCTCTCGACTACACTGCTTTGATCGACGAAAGAAGTTGGGGAGAAATTTTGTGCTGCTGATCCTTGCGTGAGTTGTACGTGTAGATGATAAGAGTGCGCGATGGAAAAAGGAAGGGGAGAATAAAGGGAGTAGGAACCCGAGGAAAGAAACGGAAGGCAAAACGAGAAAAGGCGAGAAATGGAGGGTTTCGGTGTGCGTGTGCGTGTGTATGCATGTATGTGTGTGCATGATTGCATGCGCTTGAACGAAAGGAGAATGTGAAATAGTGACAAAAAAAGATGAAAAATGATTTTTCGTACAGCATACCCGCCAAATGGCGATATATCTACACGAGCGAGTTGTAAATTCGTTTCTATTATAATAACCGCTTGTACGATTAAATACACACACACACACACACACACACACGTACATACACACGTACATACACGAACGCGCGTGATTCGCGCGTTGATATATACATACACATATATAAACTATGTTTGAGGCGCATTTATTCTCGTAATCTTGAGGAAATTCGTTTTCTTGCCGTAGCTTTGGCGGGTATGCTGCCTTGATTTCAGAGCGCGTAGGCCCCCCCTGTTTCTCATATTTCGCACGTGTGACCGAAGAGAAAAAAAATTTTACGGTAGGACCGAAAAATATGTGCTCGATACTAGTTACGTAATAATAGGATCAAGAGGCAATGCGTGCTATAATTGGCTTCCGAACACACCACAGACTTTTCGGAGGTATTAAAAGCTTACCTTGGTGGGGCGTCGCCTTATGATAATTATTATTAATTATTAATTATTATTATTACTATTATTATTATTACTACTATTATTATTGCTATTATTATTATTATTATTATTATTATGATCTTAAATATTCCATCGTTCATGGAGAAAACACACCATCGGAAGTCATGTTTTTGCGCGCGACGCCGTTGTTAACGACGTTAAATGTAATTATTAATACTGTAATATTATTGCCATCGTTACTACTGCTGCTACTATCGTTATTATGATTATTACAAGTATTATCGTTAATTTTACCACTATTGTAATAATTTATGATCCGTACCAACACGATTGTCTATCGACAGTGTGTCGTCATTGTAAGTATTACAAGATTTCTATATCCATTAACGGCTAGCATGAAATTTAGGGGTGCTCGGTTGCAATTTCGTCGCGGGGTGCTGTTTCGCTGCGTCCACTTCCACCGCTGTTTCTAGCGTTGCCGCCACTATTATCGTTATCAGCACTGTTCTTGACATTAATAGGACAATTTACAGCCATGAAAATTCGCAGTTTTCGTTTCCTTGTTTCATTTTATATCTTTCCGTTTAACACACGACGGCGAGATCTGCTCGTTCCGCGAACGAAGACAGAAATATAATTTGTTTTGTCAGCCGTTATGCGAGTCCTAAATCCAAGGATATTTTTAAAACGCTGCTTCGACGTCTCTGCGACGATACCGCGGTTCACGCGCGTCAGTTTCATTCTAGAATACATTTTGACTGCATCGAAGAGAATACTCTTCGAAGGTTCAGGTTCAAACTTTTTTTTTTACTTTCCAAAGGGTATTTCGATAAATACCCGGACAATACAAATTAAAAGAACACAATGAGTACACGAAGAAGAAACAAAGTATATTCACCTTTGTTCCTTCGAGCCTGTTTTGTCCACGGTTGAAACCCCTCGTCAAATTTAGTATCCTTTTGAGTGCTATTTTGGATTTATATTGCATTCATGTGCATAGAAGGTTGTTAAAAATATGTGTGGAAATTTTGTCAGTGTATTTGAAATATCGTAGAGAGATACGTTCGCGCGCTGTAGTAGAGACAAGACTGGCTGTTCAAGGTCATTCCTCCCACCATGAGGCACATCTAACATAACCTCGACCAACTTTACAATCTTGCCATCTTCTTATTCATGTGATTAAGACTCCTTTGAACTTGAAGTATTTATATTGTGATATCATCATGACTCTTCTCTCTTCATGGTACTCAGATGAAACGAATTGTTGGGACAGCCGAACAATATAACGGAGGATACTAGCTGGGTGGCCTTGAGCGGCCAAAATCTTTTGTTCGCAACGAAGGCCCCTTGGGTACAAAGTCTGACTGGTCAATAAAGTTTTGCATAGACATAGAACTTAAAATAACGAAGCCAGTATTTATGATTTTTCGGGTACAAGATATTTAATTTGAAGTTTTGGCGGTCAAGATAACAATTACTAACTTCAGTATTTCGAGCATCGTTCAAAGTCTCACCGACCAGTTACACTTGCGCTTAGGGATCGTTCCTTGTCAGATAATAGCTTCAATGTACAGTCGGTGCTTAGCTAATAGCTGAAACGTCCATTCGCAACCATACTGCCTAAGCAGTAAAAATCTACCCAGACCAAGACCAGAATTTGTGCCATCGACTGTACACTAGAATAACAGAGGTAGAATGCAGGAATAACTTCGCTATTAGGATCGTTCGACGAATAACTGAATCAACAAAGGAAGCGTACGTTCGATTAAAAAGAAAATATACAAACGTTTTTATTGCTCAAACGTCCATGGTTGCTCGTAAGTACAGTAAATTCGCTGGGCGCACGCGGGTACGGTCTGGTCGCACCCGACCACGCGTCGAGAGTGTTTTACAGTGAATCCGTGCTGCGTATTCTCGCGCGCTTTGTACAGAACCGCGCATCGAGCGCGCCTTATCGATAACTCTTTGGTCGTAAGCGCCACTTCTGCGTACTTTCGTAACGAAAACGTGGTGTTCGCCCCCGGTTCGACGACCATCCATCGGCAGAGAAGCACCGTAAAGGGGTGTAGAGGGGGTTTGGGAGGGGGGTGAGTCTCGTTTCGAATAGTCTTTTTTTTTCTCCAGGTGCACTGACAACGTTTATATACAGGGGTGTCGCTTCACTGAAGCGAGGTAAAAAAAAAAAAAATTGTCCACTTGGGATTCGACCGAGGGAAAGCAGAGAAGAGGTGCACAGAGCACTGACGGACACGCGTTATCGTCGTGGTTCTTTCTACTTCGGCGTTTGGCTACCGTAATCCACGTAGACGCGCACGACCTCGCCACTGTATTTACGCTGACTGGGCATGAAGTAGAAGTCTGGTTGATTCGGTTGGGTCGACACGCCGCTCGCCGGGTTGTGCATGTTTTTCGATCGCTGATAGTGATCCCTGCGATCTTGGGTGTAGTAACCCGGTTGTATTGGCGCCGTGTGCCTCGTGCCCGGTGCACGCGGCAGGCTGTACGTAGCCCGGGGCCCCACCATTCGGTTGGGACCCTCCACCGTGTCGGTGCTGCCCAGTCCGTTGCTCACCATCTCGCGGTGGCGTGGTAAACTAGATACCGGTGGCGGCGGTGCCTTCTCCTCCGTCTCGAACGCCTCGAAGGCGAAGTTCGTGTTCGCACCGGAGGCGTAGTCTTTCCAAGCGTTACTAGCGATCAGGCGATCCTAAAACGAGATTATTATCGGTATTAGTAAATTTCACTGGTGAGAAGAGGCACGATGCTTGAGCAAAAATGTTTGACATCGCATTGATTCTTTATTTAGATGCCTACAGGTAGTGAAGGAACAAATCAATATTGTATTTGAGGCATCAAACACGAAGTATCGAGATAATTAATCATTGCCATTAGTAAGATGTACTTGACACCGTAGTATTTAAACACGTTTCAGTTCCATCAATACCTATAGGCTTCGAGCAATCAGAATGTTTGTTTTCGTTCCGTCTGGTTCTGGACTTCATCTTTACACACGAATATGGTGGGTGGAAAAGACATTGTAAACTCATCGGGTATTACGTTCGGAGATGAATTCGAGAGAGAAACGTATTTGACAGTTTGCTTTCGCAAGAGTACCTTTGCATATTTTTTAAGCGTGCATGGAAGAGTGTATCTCTTCCAATTACTATACATCAAAGTTATGTCAAAAAAAAGACTAATATTTTTTACTCTTTCACTGCCATCTACAGTATGATACGCGCGATTGGAATCATTTTCGTAGATCCATAAAGATTCATTTAATCGAGAACACCATTGCAGATGAAGCAGGGGCGCCATACGTAATCGTTCAAATTTATTTGCAAAAGAATTTAATAATGTGTAAAGCGGTATTTTAATCGTTAAATAAGAAAGCTGAAGTTTGAGAAACACTGGTTAGATAAATGTTATGTTTCCCTCCACAATGTTTATATTTGTATGGTATTGGTAACGTTGAAATTTTTGAAACATCTGTCATGTGGCCTACAAAACGCACCACCTTCGTCTGCAACAGGTTTCCTTAAAAAAAAGAGAAGAAATCCGTGCGGTTGTGGTGTTGACAAAGTTGCCAACCACCGGAACAAAATGGCCGCCAAAGACATGGTGGGAAAAGTCGTCTACTACGTGACTCCGTTACATAATTAGTCGTATCAGACAATTTTACATAAATATTCGAACAAAGCCACTTGTTTCTAATAAAATTTATTATAAATCTGTATTAAAACAAGCGACATTATTCAAGTATTTACGTTGAGTCATCTGACGTAGTTACTAATTACGCCACAGTGTCGCGTAGCAACGTTCCCCCCACTCTCTCGCGCTTCTTCGTCCGTTCCGGCCATTTTGTCTTAGCGACCCCGAGCATCGGTTCTGGTCACGTAAACCTGCGCATGAATGGACCGCTACAAGGAAGAGATGGGGCATTCTACTCGCGTCCAAGGTGAACACAAAGTAGCAAGATGGCTGGAAACGTGGGATACACAAAAGGAGAAAGAAGAAACAGTAGAGATAGATAGCAAAGAGAACCAGTATAGAAATACCTGGATTAGTGAGCAAACGAGCGTACGATGAGTAATATTAGCGCGCTGATCGTGTACCGAATGTGAAGTTCTACCAGCTGGGATTAGGACGATGCATTTCGTACGGAGCGTGTTGGTGATGATGCCGAAGATGATGGTGATGGTGGTGGTGGTGGTGATGGTGATCGCCATTTTGTCGATGATACCGCGTCGCGTTCGTGCGATGAATCGGGTTGGGAGCGTCGGAGGAAGCCAGAGGCAGCGAGTACACCCTCTTTACCACGTGATGGTCGCGGAGAGCGCGGGTCATGCAACACAAGCGAAGCAGAAGATCGGTTCGGGTTCACAAGTGTGTGAGGCGTTCAGAGTCGAGTTCGTGGCGGGTGTCAAAAGTCGGGCAAATTTCTACGGTTCAGCGTGGACCGCGGTGAAAGAGAGAATACCTCGTTGAGATATTTCCACTGATGTCTACACGCTGCATGAGAATCGGGACTTACAAGCGGAGAAAGGCCCTGTGAGAATACCGTGATTGCCATCTTTAAGAATAGACCACGTTCCTCGCAAGATCATCGTCGAAAACGAAGTTAAGCGATCGTTTAGAATGTAAGTATTCTAAACAATTACTGGCCAAGTTGCTATCATCTAAATTATACTCTGTACTCTGTTATTTTCGCATTCTTTAAATACTTTGTGCGTTATCTACCCAAATATGCATGTTCGTTGTACATCTTGTACTTTGGTCACTGTATAGACAGTGTACATGGTTCTTTTTCAAAGATGGCAGTCTTTGGATCGTCACAGGCTACAGATGTATGCCTTATCTAATATATAGAGATTAGTGGATATTTCATATTCTCTCGAAATCAAAGAGATTTTTACCCATTTTCACATATGAAAGATTACACAAAGAAAGACTACTGCTGCATGTGTCACGAGCTTGCTTTATCAAACAGAGGTTAGCTACGATCATCTTCGAAGAGTATCAAACATTGTTCTTCGAAGTATGAATGTGTCTATTAACAATTTAGAAATTGTCGGAGAATAGGTGACTCTTATTGCAAGCTGTGAAGGAGTCTTGGAAGCTTAAGGGGGTTGTCAAGCCTCAAAATCTTGAAGAAAACCGTTTTTGAGATTTTGACACAGTGTTCCAATAGTTATGAGCTTTCTGTGGAACACTAACCAAATGGCATCCGAATTTCGAATAGCATACAGGTGTTGTTCGCAACTGAGAACAATTTTTCTGAGGGGTTTACTATCATGTTTATCAATGCATGACAATTTGAACATAAAACATCCCTCAGAGGCATACTTCTCAGCTGGCAATAATAGATATTACACTTGAGAAGATCATTTAAGATACATTGGAAGCAGAATGAAAAAAAAAGTGAAGAAACATTTCTGATCTCGATGAAACGAGAACAACATTTTTTTCTCCATTTTGCTTCCAACTTTTTCAATCATGTTCATCAACAAAACCACGTGTTTACGTACTTAAATGTAACTCCCACGATTATCAATATTTTCTAATGAGACAGGACATTCATCGAACAATAAACTATGTGAATTTCAAACGATCACGATTATACATTTCCTAGAATTTTAAGGTTGAGTGAGACTTGACTGCTCCCTTGAAGACTCTGCTGTGAGACAGATCCAAGAGCTTGAAGAGGAAACGCGTTTTGGCTTCTATGATCGACGCAGCGCTACGATCGTTACAAAAAGAGTTAGATGCACACAATACAAAGAGACAGAGAGAAAGGTAAATTTGGTGGACGCGAGCAGAAACAGCGAAGAGAAGAAATTAAACATAAACAAAAAAAGAACGTTCAATGACGGATGATGGTACCTTCGTCGCTCGTCTCCTCGAGGATCTGTAGAGGGTGCAGCTTGCTTGCAACAGTGCAAGGGCAAGCAACGCAGCGACGCAACCAACGACGATGTACAGCTTCGTCCCGTCGAGGAACAGGTCCGACGTAAATGACGTTCCTTCGTCTGCGTCTCCTCCACCCAAGTCGTTTACTGGTGACCAAAAAAATAATGTCCATGTTGGATCGATGCCTTATATCACTTATGTAACTTAATATAAATATTTAGTATGGATACATTGTACTGAAGTTTAGATATACGTGAACACATTGTCAGCTTGTCACTAAAAAGCTCGCTTTGTTAAGTTTGTTGTAATAATAGTGTTCTCTTCGAATGACACGCCGAACTAAAGGTATAATTGAATTAAATACAATATTTAAAAAATACCCTACATCGTTATTTGTAGCAAGAGAGAGATAATTACAGCTTGTGAACGCTTCTTGTAAGAGAATTTTTATATTAAGAATTCGTTGACAGACTATATGCAAAGAATGATCTTTCACAGACCTCGAGGAGCTCTAATGATCAAGTACTGCGGATCGACGCTCAGCGCACCGACTTTCCCGCTTACGAGGGCTTCTTTCAGCGCCTTCTCTGCGGCTGAGCTAGTGTCCAATGGCTTCAACGATCTACCCTTGACTTCGTTTTTATCTAAGATCAAGTCCATGTGCGCGATAACTCCGTTCTGCTCTTCGTCTCTGTACAGAATTGTAAACGTTTAGAGCATCGAACAATGTACTTGCAAGTTCAGCCATGTAAAAACTCACTTGTGTAACTCGTTAAGACGTATTTGATAATAACCGGGCAGTTTGTCCAAAATTGGACCAAAACTGTCAGATATCCTGTTCGAAATAACTTCGAAGTCGGGGCTGCCAGGAGCGGGCGCTGTAAAACCGTCACCCAGATTCACCAGCTTCACTTCCACGTCGTAGTGCAGCCTTGGTGGCGCTGGTGTCGTTAAGTCCTCGAGCTCTGTGAAAGCAAAACAATGTATCACGGTGTTCCTAAAACACGGCGTAGATGTAATTGTTTAGAGACAGTTTTTAATCTCGATGTATCGTAACAAGGGAACAACCTTCGAGGCCGCAGGACTTTATGCATATCCTTTCAGACGAGACGACGGGCACAGCATCGTGTTTGCGTATCTTCTTGCTGACAGCGTTGAAAATACCACCCTTGACTGGGTACATCATGTACAAGCAGTGATCGTCCGTGAACGAAAGGTCCCTGTTATCCTTTGTTATTCGTTTCCTTGAGAATTTTAGAGTCGTTACACCGTCCACTTTGCTGCCACCGGTGTTGTAAATATCTTGAGACGGATCAAGCAGCGGGGCGTTGTATCCGCTGATCCAAGTGTCCATGAGAAATGCCCTGCCAGATTTATCGTCAACCCAGCCCAGAACCGCGTCTGTCTGCGACTAATAACACAGGAGAACATTTAAACGATGTTATTCGTTGATCTTACTTTACAAATAAAATTGATTTTTCCCCAATGAATGCAAATATAACATATATTGTCTACACAAGCGTAGCTTGTTTATTTTAAAATTCACTGTAACCTCTGGTGATGCTTATTTCTTAAGTATAGATTTTTGCCTAAAAATAAATAAATTATGCTTGCGTCGACCATATTTGTATGGTATAAGATTTAATAGATACCATTTTATCGTCGTCGGAGAATCCAACGCCGGTCCAGCTGTTCGTATGGGTCGTTGAGATGACAAACGATAATTGATCCTGTAAGAATATACTTTCACTTATGATATATTTTCAAACGATCAGATTGCAGATGGACAAGGCGTTGCGATTGTTAAGACACTACCTTTCGTCCCTTATACGACCATTGTATGGAGTATTCACAGGTGCCATTTTCAGGGGAGCATTGTCTAGGATAATGCCACTCGCCACTGCAGCTTGTAGTGGGCGTAGCTGTATCGCTGGTGGCCATCTCTTGCTTTTTATTCTCCTCTGGAAATATTAACAAAAGGTAAATTAATATAGTAAACCCCAACCACAAGGCAAGGAATCATTTTATTGAGTTGTATCGCATAGAACATCACACGTTTAATAGATCAAATTACAAATATTTTGTCTTATTAATTTGAGCATACCAATGAATAACAGACCCATTTTTATCTTACAGACTCGACGTTTTTGCATAGAAAAATTACAACGTGGCAACTGAGTAGGTCGAAACGAAGATGCCTTGTACATTACAACCCAACGCAATTTATGCCATAAAAAACTGAAGGAAATTTCTCTATTTATCTACCAAAGAAATTAAGCGTAATTGCTCCCCTCTGGGAGCCGTGTCCGTGATACTTGAGCTCGTCAGCCTTGTAGAAGTCCTTGACGCTGACCTTGGCCTTTTCAATGCCGCTTGGCGGATGGTGAACGTACTTTCCCGGTTCTTGTCCTTTCGCCCATATCACCTGCATGTTGGCATCTATGATTTCGTGGTCGGTCGGTTCGTTCGCGGTTAACTTTCTTCTGAAGAGTATCGTGGTGACGCCATCGCGCTCGTAGCCCATTGCGGCCGTCAGCGTGTCCCTGCCGCCCCAGTATTCGTCCTTACGCGGCGTCGACCTGTCCCTGGTATAGTAATCACCGATCCTGTGATTGTTACCCCGCGCCGAACCGATTATGATGTCGGTGCAGTCCATCGGATTGAAGTCGTGTTTCGGCGTGTACTTGTGCCCCGGTCCAGGCAGGATCGCTTCGATCAGGAATAACCAGGTCAGATTAAAATAAACCAAGCGACCGTGTCTCGAGCGATTATCCCATTAAACGATCGATGACCGCGACACGGTTACTTTCAACGTGTAATGAAAACAGTGTGAGACGCTATATCCATCCGTTCGACATGAAAGTGAGATGTTCCATTCTGGTTTTTTTTTTTTGAGAAAGTGGAAGTGTTTTTATATAAAAAAAATTGTTTCATCTTATCTCAAATAACATTGAGATATGGTTTGGACTTCACTGTGAGCAACCAGAGACACAAGGTATGTTTAAATATTTGTACAATTCAACTATCTACGATAATAAAATTTTTAGAAAATAGGTGAGATTCGAATACGAATACTCTAGAGTGGTCTGTGTGGTGCAAGTGCAGCTGCACCTTCAGTTATACAAATGTTACTTGGAGACGTTATGCGAAAGCGACAACGGAAGCTGATACCAAGATGAATGCAACTTCAACTTATCAACGATCTACGTTTACAAGTTTTCCATGTGGAAATGTATTCGTACGTCTTGTTAGTGCTACTGATTACGTGAACGGGTTATTAATGTAACTTAAATTACTTCTTATGTGCTACTAGTACTACTGTTTCGCTAAACATTTTACTGTTCATATTTCTTAGTAGTCTAAGACCATTAAAACGATTAACCCTCCATAACCAAAATTATTTTTGGCTTCTGAATACTATATACTGAAAATTTTTCAACAAAACAAAACAATCTCAAGACCACACGGTGTTACAGAGGGTTAAACAGGATATACAATTATTAGTACTATTTTTGCTTTTGTTTTTAACTAGTAGCTTCCTTTGAAAACTAACATAATACCATGACTGAAATGATTACTTAAGTTTTGTAACACCAATGACTCAAAGGAAACTAGGAAACAGTCTTTTGTGATGTGAATCACGTCGACCAATATCGACTCTAGGTGTTCCATTTTAATCGTACAGAGCAAATATCATTAAAACTATTAGCAATCAGAAAACGTGCCAAAACAGAAGCGAGAAGCATTTCAAGACTCCTCCTATGGTGGACGTGACTTCCACACAAATAGAAGCTTCCTTTTACATAACACTACCTTCAGAAAAGATAAAATAACTAAACTGTAGGAAGTCACATCTCTCAGGTTGATAGTCTCGAAACCTTTCAGCTTGTATTTAAAACAATTTTTTCTTTTTTATCGAATGGACTGATTAAAATGTTCCACCACGATCCTCCATGCAGTAATTTATCGTTTAAAGATCGAAATTGGGACTGTTCTTTGAGCAAGGGTTGAACGTTTTGCTTGTAACTTGTAGCAGAGACGGTTCAGTTTCTTCAATTAAAAAATTCCATCTTTAAGCGAGGCATTACTGTAAGTAGTGAAAGCATGTGCCAGTATACGAGGAAACAAGCGTCGACTCGACTCATTAGCTCGTTACCTTTTGTAGCGCTCGACCTAAGGCCCGAAATTGGCTCCGGTTCCGAGGTCGGTTCAGACTTTGGCTCCGGCTCTGAGCTTGGATGTGGCTCGGAGTTGGGTTCCGGTTCAGACTTTGGCTCTGGCTCGGAACTGGGTTCCGGTTCGGACTTTGGTTCTGGTTCTGAACTCGGTTCTGGCTCGGATTTGGGCTCTGGCTCTGAACTTGGTTCTGGCTCTGAGCTGGGCTCTGGCTCTGAACTTGGTTCTGGCTCGGATTTGGGTTCTGGCTCTGAACTGGGTTCTGGCTTGGACCTTGGTTCGCCTTTGGGAACGGGTTCTGATTGAGATTTCGGTGCAGCGGTTTTAACACCGGATTTCAATTGGGATCTTGATTCCGGTTTGGAACTGGGCTCCGGATGAGACGTTGGCTCTGGCTCGGGGCTTGGTTCCGGTTCAGACGTCGGTTCGGGGACGGAAACGGGTTCCGGTTTGGGAGTGGATTTCAGTTGGGACTGTGGCTCAGGCTTGGAATTGGCTCCTGGTTCAGACTTGGGCTCAGATATGGGTTCGGGCGTGGTGTTGGTGCTGTCGACAGTGCTCGGCTCGGCGACGGGTTCCCCTGTGCAACAAAGCATCGATCGTCGTGCGACTACCTACTGCTTACATCGTTTACGGACCACCACCTCGTGCGTAGTGTCTCGAACGAGAGGAGGGACGCCAATTATTTCACTACTGCTTATTGGGAAGCAAACTACGTATTTCTACTATGTAATTACGGGAAGCAGGGGCTCTTTTATTCGTACCTACATTATAAACATTTATACATACCGTTTGCAGAGGGCACCACCGTGTCCGGAGACCTCTTTTTACGCCCTGCACAACAAAGATCATGTATCATGTTTGATGTAATCTTCAACACGTTTACAACCTCTACGTTTCGCTTAAACACGAGCGTTGCTGCAGTCAACGTGAAGTTTATATAATTATACATAATTGTACCAGTTTTTTCGTTCTTGGAAAGGATAAGCCTCGGTGCTCACCTTGTTTGGTGCTAACGCGATAAGTCACGCTCGTCTGCACCGTGACGTCGACGTCGGGTCGGGGTGTCGACGCCAACAACGCAACGTCGTGCGCTTTGGCCGATCTCCTCTTGGCACCGGACCTCTCCGTTCCGAACTCTGGCTCCGGTTGGGGCTCCGGTTCCGGTTCTGGTTTCGGTTCGGCTTTCGGTTCTGCCTCCGGTTCGGGTTCCGATTTTGGCTCCGGTCGCGGCAGCGGCTCCCCCTTCGGGCGTTCTTGGATATCGGGGAACGCTCGACAGATCGGAGTCAGGTCGCTTGGTCGCCAGCCAATGCCCACCCAGCTCGTCGTATTTACCACCATCACGCCCTCGAGTTCTTTGCTATCCTTCAGTATGCGCCAATAAAAGGTGAAGTTGTCCGAAAATTTCTTCATCGTGTAGACGTCCAGGTCCACGTCGATGGTCTTGATCGGGGATTCTAAAACAAATTACAAAATTAGTAACAACGAATATTATAAAATATTTCAATGGACTATTTATTTATTAAGAATTGGCTCCCCACGTGGTAGCAAAGAACAGAGTGGCTCACGGATCACAACGGGTCCGAAAGTTCGGTGCAAGTTGCTCCAGGTTCAAGGTGCATCAAAGTCTCGGTAAAACTTACTCTTCGCGCAACCCGGACCGAACCAGCCGATGTTGCAGTAACATTGCTTGGTGGGCGCGGTCGTGCCGCCATTGTCGATGCACGTGCCCTGAATACCGCAGTCCGAGTCGTCGAGGCATTCCTCCTTAAATTCGCACCGTGTGCCGTGATAGAGACGATCGCATCTGCACCGACCCACCAGATATCTGCCGTGACCGCTGCAATCTTCCCTGTAGGCCTTTCTGTCGATGATCTGACACACATTATAGAACATTAGGCAACATAGCGCAGAAAACGAAGTGTCAGCTGATTCTATGCGAAAAAGTAAATCGAAATTGCGTGATTACATTTTTTCGTACGGGTCTTCGTTACCGAGAAAATCGACGTTGAAAAGGAGCGGAGCGCGCGCGTGCCCCGCGCATTTTCAAACGTGATTTTCCCGAGAACCGTGAGAGATACGAAAAAATTTCATTCTTCGTTTTTGATTTATTTTTCCACTTACATCGATGTCGGCGCAGGACCAAAATCTGTAACTCGCCCCCCACTCCTCGGCTTCTCGCAGAAGTCGAATCGTACAGTCTGTGCATGTAAAGTTCTGGGGTAAATGCACGGCGTAACTCTGTGCCCTGAAAATCGACGGATTTTATTTTGTTATGATATCGTAAAAATTGTTAGAATTGCGAAAGTGTCCGTGATATAGTTAAACTCACGTGGCGTCATCTTCCACGAATTCGCTGTTCTTCGTCACAGGGGTTAAATCAACCAATGGCCTGTCGAGGGCGTCCAAGATTTGCAGACGAAATCCACCCTGAAAGTATATAAACCAATCAGAAAAAGAGATTCTCCTACAATAGAATTGAACTTTTTTATTTTTTACGCGTTGTATAATTATATGATAATAAAGACAGCACTCTATTTCGTTCACAATTATTTACAAATTTATAACAAATTTTAGGTTAATTAGAAGAGTGAAAAGGACTTCTTTATTAGCGAAAGGGAAACCAAGATACTAAAGGCTGTCGCCGTATTAGGTGAGTTAATAAATATAATAAAATATGATTGTTAGATTATATAAACATCACAGAAAATAATAGGAATTTTAATATTAATTCTCTATAATAACAAGTGGAATATTCTGCGAATTAACGAACCGAAGCTCCGTTGAATAATGAGAAATTTCTTGCCAGAAATGTCGAAATAAAAAATGGCTGTCGGATTATGATCAGTAATTTAATGAACTAGAACGCAAAATTACGTTATAAACGAAGAAGGGAATACAAATGCATAAAGCCAGGAGATTGTATGAATAAAATGTATACGGTGCGTGTTTAACAGGATCGTTTTAATTCCGTTGTGTTTGGAAACGCAGCCAAGTTACGGGTGGAATCGCTTTAGTTCCAATGAGTGAGCTTCCGCGCGGTTTCTTTCGCTACGCTCGCGTCGGAAGCGAGAAACGGTCAAGAGGACGTTGAGACATCGATCGCGCTCGGATAGCGGTATCGAGCGAGCTTATCGCGGAATCCATGACATAGAAACTAGCCTTCCGTTCGATCGGTTACGTTGAATAAAAAATGACGATGCTCATTAATTCGATAGAAAATGTTCAATGGAATTTATTATATCAGTAATGTTGTTATGGGATTAGTTCCATCGTTAGACACAGCTTTGATCAACGGTTACTCGGTGGGAGTCGCATATATATATCGCAATAATTCTGCCGTTACGAAACCGCCGTTTCATGAAACGTCCACCGAATTGGAATTAGGAAGCAGAGATGTCGCCGTTGGAGATCAACGAGTCGCGACAGGTAACGGATGTAATAACGTCGAGCGTTGATTCAATGGGCAGTCCGTGTCGATCGTAGGTACCGTGAATAAAGATACGTCGATGAAAAAACCCGTTATAAATTCGACCGGTGCGTCAGAGAAGTATTGCATTCTTTTCGCATGTCACGTTTCGTGCTCGGAACTGGATATGTTTCGTTCGAACAAAAGATAAGACATAATTATTCGCAGACAATGCAGCTCCGTCGAATAACTGACGTTTGATCTATCAGAGACGCATTGTCTCGAAGAACGCCTCGTCTCGAGTAATCTGTTCCTTTAATAATCATATAATGTAAGATTTAATATCTCGCAGTCAATTGTTTGTTAATCAGACACTCGCATTCCACATTGAGTAATCCGGACAAACGGATCCTCGCAGACTCACGAGACGAGTTATAATACTCGAGTACGTATGTACCTCTGGGAAGATTGTTTCCAGGTAACGATTGATAAACATCAAATTAATTAGAAATTCATTCGAAAGTTGAAACAATCGGAGATGGGTTATTGAAATCTAGATAAAAAGTTTGCCCATCTCCGACAACAATTTTCTCATATTTGGAATCATAACCTCAAAACTCTGTCGATAACTGCTCGTTGGTGGTCGTTCGGAACTTATCGAACTTATTCTCTAGAACGTTCAGGTTTTGCAACGTCAAATATTCTCCGAGGTGTGAAACGCGCAAAAACAGTGTCGTTTTGTAAAACACAATGCGCCTAGGTGCATTTAGCGGCGAAATGGAATACGTTCACCGGAGATGATCGTCGCTTTTCATGAAAGTACCATCGAAAAATCTCGCGAGAGAGTTTGAAATGTTTTCCAACGTTGCGCCGACGATTGCGCCGCCACTCGAAAGGAGGAGAAAGGGAAGAGGCGGTTCGCGAAGTGGTACTGCTTCGCACGGCACACACCTGCAGCGGTTGTAGCGTGTTATTGTCGAATTTTTCTCATGCCGTGGATATTTTCGTGTGCAGAACGCGCGAGAGCCGCCTAGGGTACGGCTGCGCTAAAACCAGTTACCAAAGAGAAGAAAATACGACGTGAATTTGTGCACGCGAAAATACGCAGATTGGCATCGGAATTTCACGGAAAGTTTAGGTTAAATCAGAATCGAGAAATTATGCTGTTGATTCGTAACTCTTTCATGGAAGATTCGAAGGTAATGGAACTTTTGGCTCGTCGAATAAAACGATTATTTATCCAGTAAAGGGGAAGGGGGCTTTGGCTTCGATCCGAGTCATCGGCGACAGTCGAGTTACGGTACTCGACATACCGATGTGTTCCACGGAGTTCGGGCTCTCTGTCGTACGCGTCCACATGCAAAACGACTTATCCCTTACCACCTTCTTTCCGACCTATCTACCTACGTAGGGTACGCGAGTATCTCGAAACGCATGCCGTGCTTCGCTTCTGAATTATTCAACGCGCGTCACCTTGAGCGACGACCAGCATGCGTAGGCTGCGAGCTCGGCCTCTGTCTTTTCTTTCCCTTTCGTAGACCACGCGCGGACAAATTCGTGATGTCTTTGACGATGACTTAGGTACTCGCGACGATGCGCCGCCGAGAATATGAATGTCCGACTTCGTCCGTTTGTGTTTAGGTTAGGGACCGTCGTAAGCTTCGAGAGGTTCGCTACCTCGACTTTAACACGATCACCAAACCTATGAAATTTTCTACGAGACCAGTTTCATTTATTCGCCAATTGAAAATTACATAACCTACAATTTGTCGTAGAAACTCCTAACCTTACTTTTTTTCACGAAATTTCAGACATTATGCTCGATCTTCATTAAACATGCACAATTCTGAAATGTATTTAACTGTTGAAAGTGGTCAATTAGCGGAACGAAGGTGTTTCCGCGGAGAAATGTTTTCAACGAATGCGACGCGTGCCATAAAGTGCCATAATTACACACGCTTTGCACGCGACATGTGTTAGCACGGAAAGAATTAAGTAATTTGACGTCTGGCCTAATTGCGGTTGAATTACTTTATATGGCCGGGATTTTCGTAATCCGCGTATATAAACGACCGGGAGAGGTTATGTTCATCGCGTAGTCGGAGAGGATACTCGAAAGATAAATGCAGAAACTTACATATCGGAGAAAGTCTAAACGCGAAATAATAAAACGCGGCACGATTTTATGCAGCTCTCGCGTAACCGCTAGTACGATTTTTCCATTTTAAATAGCTGCTCGAGTTTCGTAGGCATTTTTCTCTGTAAAAGTGGCATCGATGCAAGCCCTTTTTTTTAACGTTTCGATACAAATTTCATACTTTCTCAACTAATATCAAGAAAGTTGGGCAACGACGTTGTCAGCTTTTTTTTTCTCTTTGCTCGTTTTCAGTGCTAATTGCAAGAAACGCATGTACGTATGCGCAGGAATTACCGACTGGTCCCGCTAGAACGGTTTCGCAGCTTTCTTTTTTTACCACGCGGCCAATGAAATTCACCAACGAATTCAATTATCGGGTAAAAGTGGCGTGGCGGGCGCAAAAGCGAAGGAAAGTTTAACGAGATGCTAAACGCGTGGCGGTAATCCGTTTCGTTTTGAGATTAAATAATCAACACGGTATAGAATAAAAAATGATGTCTACTTACTCGATGAGGGTAAGCCAGATGCCATGTGACGTTGAAGTCGCTCCCAGAGAGTAAAGTAGTCTTGACGTCCCCTGTAAACATCGAATGCATACATATTTATATTATGCAACGTTACGCCATTCTTCGTGAATTCTTGGAACGCATTATATGCAATAAAATAAATTGCCCCGAGAAACGGAAATTTGTAATTTCTCAAGCTCATCGATTTAGACAAGCGATCTTATAAACAATGAGAAGTTAATATTCATTGCGATAACAAGACACGATAATTTGTAACAATCGCCGGAAACAAACTTAAACGCAAGTTCAACGAAACCTCGCGTACGGATACTCCTGCTTCTATTCGTTCAGGCTATTGAAATTGAACAAGAACGATGGACATTTTTCGATACTTTTGTATTATAGAAACAGTATTTAACTAGCTAACTAAGAAACTATCTAATTACCTCGATACTAACTAACTAACTGCAAACTATCTAACTAACTGACAAACGAAATATCTAACTAACTCGGAATTAACTAACTGACTGACAAGCTAACTAAGTAACTGACACACTAGCTAACTAACTAACAAGCTGACTAACTAACTGACAAACTAACTACCTTACTGCAAACTAACTAACGAAGTAACGAACTAACTAACTGCAAACTAAATAACTGAGTATCTAACTAACCATCTGACAAACTAACTAACTAACAGCAAACTAACTATTATTATTATTTCAAGTTGTACGTTTTCGATCATTCTTTACTCATTCAGAATATCCTTTGCAAATTAAATTTTCACATCGTGTGATCGCGGAAATCAATTACACGGAACTAAAAGGCATTAGAAATCGCCATGATCTGGAAAACGCATCGAGGCGAATATGTTCGTTCGTATCGCGAATTACATCGGGTCGTTACGAAAACGTATCCCTACGTAATCCACGGGGGGAGAGGGGGGCGTGGCTTAAAATACGCTGATTCGCCGGCAGACACAGGGATGGATAGAGATAAGGATCTACAGTGGTGTTTATCGTATCGAGCCACAGTTGCGGAAACAATCGAGAGTGGCACGGCGTACAATTAGTTTCCGGAAGTGGCCGAGAGCGGCGCGCGTTCCGCGACCGATCCTGCCTTTTAAGGATTACAAGTTTTCTCCCCTCGGTCCCCCGCCGCCACACGCTTCCCTGAAAAGAAAGCAAGCGTTCCCTTCCACGGAACTGTCGACCCGTCGATTAAATTATGGACGAATGCCAAAGCCATCGACGCCGTAACGTACGATTCGGAGGACCGTACAAAAAATTAATATGCGTGACCAATGTTCACGGACGCCGTTTAACGTGTGCGTGTGCATCTACGGCGATGGTGGCCAAACTGCAACTCTTCTAAACCCCGACATATCGACACCAAAAGCAATTCGTACGTAGTGCAACTACCTAATATAAATCGAAGTCGATTATAAATCTGTGAACCTTGTATCAGTGACTAATAAAAGAAAAATATTACTATACGTTTATATATGGTTCTCATCATGAGGTTTGGTCACCACTGTTCTATGGTGTCCGTCTTATACTTGTGTTCGTACTTCTCGTTTCCGACGATACAGGTGGATGTGCCGAGGTCGTTGTTTTTTTACGGCTTACGAGAATGGTTTACGTCCTGTCACGTTTAGAGGTTAGTTAGTGGTGCCGCGAGTGATATACGCGGAGATTATGGGGAATGGCGAAATTAAGAAGAGGCTGGCTCGTTAACAAGTTTCTGCGTCTAAATCGACAAGGGAATTCGAGGTATTTTATTGTACTTGTTAGTGAGGTTATGTAGCGAATCTTGTTCTATACGCGATAATGCATCAATTGTTTCACATTTGTATGTACGATTGTATAATATCATAGTATGAAATTCTATAATAAATCCATGTGATCCTGTGTTCCTCTGTCCATTCCAAACCATCCGCCGTTCAAAAGATTAACAATTTTCTTCCTTTTCCAGGAACGTCCCTTGATGAATCCAACGAACGATCCACCAGGGATGCGTGCATCGAAAGTTCATGTATTCCTCGCGAACGCAGGTAAGTAAAAGAAAGAAAAAAAAAAGGTGTACGTGTTGTGTGGCTGCAGCGTGGAGGCAAGACGTGGAAGGTAATGCCCGGGCAACCGAGGTTCGAGTTCCCTTCGCGCGAGTCGGGTGAAAGTCGCTTCGAATCAGACTAGCGGGCTATCCCCACCGGGACGTGTCTTCGCGTTAATGTCGTTTTCCCATAGAAACCCCCTTGCCCCTTCCCCCATTCTCCTAGCGATCGACAAACGACGCCATCCACGGGACGACCGCGAAAATTCCACCGGTAGTTTCCGGTCCATGCCCGCGTTCCGTTCCGCGGATCATGTAACGAGCCAGGCAGCGTCCGGTGATACTTGGACAGTGTCCCCGCTGGTAACACTATCGAACGGGATTCACCGTTGTTTTTCTACGCATGCCAGCGACGCCACGTCTCGCGTTTCACCGGTTCGTTCTTTCCATGCGAGCTGGAGCTGTCTGTTTTCAGTTCGTCTGCATCGGGAACTGGTCCGGCTCGGAGAGGAGGGACGCTGAATGATCTCGATGGTACGTGTCTATTTATCGTGTTCACTCCATCGGTTGTATCACTATTGTACGAGATATAGGCAGCTATGCAAGTAGACGTGCAATGTATTTTTTCGGTCCATTTTTCTTCAGAATATTTTCGGTAAAGAATTTTTTTTCTCGAAACTGAGGAGGATTTCGGGGGTATGTCTAATGATCAAAAATGATTGTAATTGACGCCCGGAATAGAAAATAATTTTTCCAGAATGATTCGAAACTTTTCAAATTCGCCGAAAAATGTAGGCATCTACTCGAATTTTTTCCTCGAAACTGAGTAGGATTTCGGGGGTATATCTATTGACCAAAAATGTTTGTAATTGACCCTCGCAACAGAAAATAATTTTTCCAGAATGATTCGAAACTTTTCAAATTCGCCGAAAAATGTAGGCATCTACTCGAATTTTTTCCTCGAAACTGAGTAGGATTTCGGGGGTATGTCTATTCACCAAAAATGTTTGTAATTGACCCCTGCAACTAAAAATAATTTTTCTATATCGATTTGAAACTTTTCAATTTCACCGAAAAATTTGTCAACTTACTCGAATTTTTTTCTCGAAACTCAGTAGAATTTCGAGGGTATGTCTAATGACCAAAAATGATTGTAATTGACCCCCGGAACAAAAAATAATTTTTCCATGGCGTTTTGAAACTTTTCAATTTCACCGAAAAATTTGGTCACCTTCTCGAATTTTTTCCTCGAAACTGAGTAGGATTTCGAGTTTATATCTATTGACCAAAAATGATTATAATTGACCCCCGGAACCGGAAATAATTTTTCCAGAATGATTTGAAATTTTCAATTTCACCGAAAAATTTGGTCACCTTCTCGAATTTTTTCCTCGAAACTGAGTAGGATTTCGAGTTTATATTCATTGACCAAAAATGATTATAATTGACTCCCGCAACCGAAAATAATTTTTCCAGAACGATTTGAAATTCTTTTTTTCGTCGAAAAATATCTACACCAACTTGTCTATTTTTCTTTAAAATTGTCTTATTATCACTGTTTGCCTAAGTAGATTCTTCCATAGTCACACGTGTAGATAAAAATGATTATACCTGACTGGCGGTGAATAGAAACATTTAATCACGTTGCTGATCACGTGCTCGTGCGACACAATCGTCCATGGTTAAAAACTTTTAACGTCGCGGACGGTAATATTCTGTTTATTCGTGCGGTACATTACACAGCGTAATCATTTGTTTCAAAGACCAGTCCATGGGCTGCTAATGGATCATTAGCATAGTGGTTTACTTTGCGGAGTACCTACTAACATCATTAGTGGTACGTATCACAGACGCAGCATCTGTATTATAGGCCATTCCATTTCGAAGACTCCCAACAGCCTTGGTGCCCGTATATCGTGAACTAATAACGAACTAATTCAGAATCGCAACAGCATGACACTAACGAGGCCAAGGTTCTCGCAGGACAGTTGCTCGACGAAGAAAAACGATATAATAAATCACCTTTAATTTTTCATATAGCTCAAAAACACGTGATTCTATTTCAGTCGTCAGGGATTTTTTACTTCAACACTGTTATCATACAAAAATTTTATTTTCAACAACAAAATTAATACAACATGTAGAAAGTAAATAAAGTGGTTCGTTAGGTTTGATGGGAGAACATACTAGTTTTTAATTGATAATAAAACACTCACCACGTGGCATTCCACATGGTCCGGGAGTTCTGGCGTTGTCCAGGAAGTCCAAGTCGTATTTCCTCGCTCGCGGAAAAGTCAAGGCAACGTGTCCTCGCGCTTCCCGGTATATTACCGTCGATACCAGTAATATTATCAGTCCCGACATGATCGTGGAACACGTTTTCGTTGACATTTTCAGGCTCGAACGTCCAGCGTCGTCCACGCTCACAGGCTCGAGTCTTTCACTAAATTCCTCTGGCTCGTTCCCTCTGAGAATTTTCCTCTCGCGCTCCTGAGACCCTCCTGCTGATTTTTCCTGACGCTCGGCATGGGCACCCCTCGTTGATTAACTCCTTCCGCCTCGGTGAGGCCAATCTGAAAGAACCAACGAGAACAAATCCTTAGCTTGTTCGCTGCGCTCAACGCGTCACGCTTCCCACTAACGAGTAAAAAGTCTTCTCGCCGCTCAGAGTCACGCAAACAATTCTATTCGAACAATAGACGAACCAATAACGCTGACTAATATTTAAATATTTAAGGATTTAAATATTGATTATCTAGAAATTGGTGTGCGTTGATTATTTATTGTTAGAATTAATATTTGTTCATCTCTGACCCGCGAGGTTCGACTCTGATCATTCTCTGATATTCGAAAGCGTAGTCTGTGACTCGAAGGGATACACGCGCAACTATACCAAGTCAAGGCCAATTTTTGACGCTTGTGCAAACTCGTTCTTTGGTAACGCGTCTGGTTGAGATTACATAAATTATTACATAGCGCGCGTTTATGTCTTGAATAAATTGTCAAGTATCGGCGATCGAGCCTCGAATTTTCGGGCGTTTTAAAACTGTTGCAAAATTTTCGATCAAACTTGCATATAGAAATGTTTAAAACAAACTCGTTCCTTGTTTACGTAACGTTTTCCACCTACTTAATTTGTAAAACGAGGGATCGAAAGTGTACGCACGTTTACGATACGCAATGCTTGTTTATTGTCATTGTATTCGATGTTTAATTAACGCAATAAGAAATACTTCTTATACAACTGTCGCGTCGAAGATCAAGTTAACCTCGAATTACTGAGTTTTAATTGTAGCAAATATTCATTATGCTCGTTATGAAACTGCAATGTCGGTATAAATAATAGCATCCAATTAAAGATCACCGTGAATTGTTCATATTACGTTATTCGTTAACGATTGGTTTAATAATATTGAAATATACAGGATGATCGGGTACCCGTGGGAAAAATTTTAATGCGAGATTCTAGAGGCCAAAATATGACGAAAATCAAGAATACCAATTTCTTAATCAAGGCTTTGTTAAAAAGTTATTAACGTTTAAAATTCCGCCAGTATTGAATTTTTTTCTCGAAAATGCGCAAGATTTCGGGGGTATGTCTAATGACCAAAAATGATTGTAATTGACCCCCCCAACCGAAAATAATTTTTCCAAAACGAATTGAAATTTTTTTTTCAGTCGAAAAATTTCACGCCTTCTCGAATTTTTTTCTAGAAAGTGGGTAGGATTTCGGGGGTAAGTATATTCACCAAAAATGATTGTAATTGACCCCCCCAACCGAAAATAATTTTTCCAAAACGAATTGAAATTTTTTTTTCAGTCGAAAAATTTCACGCCTTCTCGAATTTTTTTCTAGAAAGTGGGTAGGATTTCGGGGGTATGTCTATTCACCAAAAATATTTGTAATTGACCCTCGCAACCGAAAATAATTTTTCCAGAATGATTTGGAACTTTTCAATTTCACCGAAAAATTTGGCCACCTACTCGAATTTTTTCCACGAAACTGAGTAGGATTTCGAGGATATGTCTATTCACCAAAAATGTTTGCAATTGACCCCCGCAACCGAAGATAATTTTTTTAACACGATTTGAAAAATTTTGTTTTCGCCGAAAAATTTAGTCACCTACTCGAATTTTTTTCTCAAAACTGAGTAGGATTTCGAGGGTATGTCTATTCACCAAAAATGATTATAATTGACCCCCGGAACCGAAAATAATTTTTCCAGAACGATTTGAAATTTTTGAATTCAATTGTTAATAACTTTTTAACGAAGCCTCCATCAACAAGTATTCTTGATTTTTGTCGTATTTTGGCCTCTAGAATCCCTCATTAAAATTTTTCCCAGGATTGGCCGAACACCCTGTATAATTCTCAAGCTAAAATTATACAGTGGGAACGATATAGGAAAAATAAAATCGTGACGTCTGTAATAGCACAGCAAAATTCTTGAATGTTTTTTACTACGTAATTTGCTGAAGAATATATTGACCTTTGCCTCGAAGTCCACCGAAAAACAGGTGCAATAATAACAAGAAGCAATGGCCAACTGGTGTTCTAGGTGGCAGCGTGTCGGCGAAACGTATAATTTCCTCGAGTTTTTTCCCAGTTTTAAAATACCAACAGAGGGAACAAAGCAAACATTCTATCGATCACTCATCGTAGAGAAGAATAACGGTCCGTCAGTTGGAAGGACAACACCGTACACGCACGCGACTTCCTTCGTTATTACTTCCTCTCCACGAGACAAGGATGAATATAGCGAAATGAGCACCAAACGAATGATTTAATCAAGCATTATCGACGATATCCTCTTTCTTTAATGAAGTATTTAACATAGCGTGAAGTACAACGCTATCGCGAAGAAAAATAAATAAAAGCAAAAAACGTGCAGAGCAAAGAACGAAGCACGAAATCGAAGAACTCGCCGTGTGAAACGCGAGGAGACAAAGGCGAAGGACGCGTGTACATCAAGATAAATATGAAGGAATAATTATGGCGGATTGTTGTGCGCGGCGCACGGAAAAAACTGGATGACTGCGAGAAGATTGCGTTCGTCGTTTGAAAAATTGAATCGCAGAAGTACGGTGGACGCAGGAGGCGTGAAAGACGAGAGAAACTGAAGGGAAACGTGTTGTACAAATTGGCAGTAATTATGTCGAGGAAACCTTGAGTCAGAGACAATTATCAAATTAGATATATAAATAAGGGTAGAACGAAACGCAGAAAAATGACGGAAACAACGAAGAAGCAAAATATCAATTCGTCTAAACTGCATATTCTGCTGTATATTTATTTTATTCGAAAGAGTAGTCGTTTGATTTATCACCTCTCGAGTTTATCTTACTATATGCACTCTCGACAATCTTCAAGAAAGTGTCCAATTTTAAAATGAAACGGTAAAATCCGAACCGTGTATAACTTGTGGATATAACGACAATATGACCGTAACGAATTCCGACCGTTAAATCGGGGCCAGTTAAATCGGGGTCTTACTGTACTTGTTTCCGAAGTCGACCCAAAAACAACAGGTTGAAAGCGTTGAAATGTGGAATTTACACGTTAACATTAATATTAATAATAACGCATTAAATTTCGAAAGCAGTATAATACACTATTTATTATGGTGTTTAAACAAGTTAAAAACCACTGACTCAAAGCTCACCTGATTATCACGCATATGCAAGACCAAAAAGGAAAAGAAATAAAATAAAAACACAAACGACGATGGATTAAGGTTTGCAGGCCATTCCATCGGGCGCGCGTAAGTCTATGAAAATTAATATATTCGTGAAACGGTTGCGACAACGTTTCTACGCAGCCATTGCGACACACGGGGAGCGGATCTCCTTCTGAGGAATCTAAACGCGGCCTCAGAATGGCCTCAGCCTGGCCTCATCGACGAAGTACGCAGCCCTACCTGGCAGGCGCAATTCACTCGCAAAGATGACTGGACGTTAGTGGGAGTGCGGAGCTCGACGAGGGCAGGGGGGGAGGCATAACGGGGGAGGAAACCGAGGTATACAGCAGAACGCGCGTACGGGGTATTTTTTCCACGCCTCGTGGAAACCTGACATTCTGCAGAATCCCGATCCCCGTCGATTCTCCAGCGACACGTTCCTCCACTTGTTCTTAAACGTACCCGACGTCCGTTACGAAATCGCGTTACGTACTCGCGCGAGGCATTCGCGATTTCAGTGCACGATACAATGTAGCATCGTTCCGTTCTGGATCGCGTTCGCGGATTCCGACGTTCGCGAAAATAAGCCATTATTTCATCAGAAAGTGGCTTTCTACGCTTTTCGACCGAGACGGAGAATTTCCGAGAAACACCAACGGTTTTCTGCTATCTTCGACGAGGCTGAGCCGCGCATGCGCACGGGCCACGTGCATCGCTCGCACGACATTCCGTCCGCGTTTTCGTAAACATTCTAGGTCGTTCGGTCATGGGGCTCCGAGCGTCGCGGAACAGAGCAGTGCATAATCTGTTCAAATTCTCTTTTTACACGGTATTGTCAACGACGTGTCTATCGTGTGAACAGAGACACATGACGAAACAGAATTTGTCGTAGTAAAAAGTAGGAAACAGTTGCTTGAAAGGGGTTAGGTGGACAAGCACCGGAAACAAGTATCGTTAGAGGAGGGGGAAAGAATTAATTGACATTCCATCCGATGACAGACGACGATTTCTATCGGTGTCGATGAACGGGTTGTTTGCGCGTGGTGTGTTTCGACTCGAACAACCAACGTCGAATAGGAGGTGAGGTAAGAACCGAACATGGTGGGAGATCAGGCGCAGCTACGTAGGGAAAACGATCCGCCTTCGACGGCTCGTGGAAAACGAGTTGACATTCCAGCTAACACCGATGTCGTTGTCCTTACCTACGTTCTTGTTCGTTTTATTTCTTATTCGCGCTCTAAATGCTGCTGATCGATTTCACGCGTGATCTTGAGAAACGTCTCCGCCTTTGCGACCCCATGCGACGAACAGGTGAACCTTCACCGTTTACGCGAGATTAAAAACAGTTTGTTTAAAGATATTGTCAATGTGAGATTGTAATATGCCATTGTAGAAATATTTAATGAGTTTATTTTGATTCGTTCAAACTGTTACAATGTACAAAAGATAATTCAATGAATTTGTTTCCAGTGGAAAACAACACTGGGCACCATTTCCAGGAAGATAACTGGGCAGCCAACAAGTTGGACAGCGAAACTTTCTCGAATTCCTCTGTTTACCTTCCACGTTTCTATGCAGTTCTGTGCTCGTACGTAGATTTCTTTTATTCTCGTCCGCCGAAGTGTTCGAATAAATTACTGCAACGAAACGGTAGAAGTAAATAACGGATAAGTATTGAAATGGGAACGAAACTTTCTGATTCCGTGTACGTGGAAAAAAATCGTTAATTATCGTGACGGATCTCCGTTAATGAATCCGCCAGAAAAAGAAAACTAGAAAGGGAATTGTAGATTCGTGCCAAACAAAGTCCTTGTCTTCTCGATACCCATATACGTACGCCAGAAGTATCGAAATGGGTCGAGCGAATCCGTGAAACAATGGCAAAAGTGTTGAAGGAAACGTTTCTCCGATTGCACGTGGGGGGAGGGAGGAGGGGAGAAAAAAAGATGACGTTTCTAAACGCGTCGCGGTGACTGATCGTTCTCATTGATGCGAGATCTCGCGGGCCAGCCGGGAACAGAGAATTCCCGAGTGGGAGAAAACGATGTAGCTGCGATGTTATAGCAAACGTTCTCCTTCGACGTGTCGTGGAAAACGAGCCGCCGTTCCCGACGATGGTTTCATTCAGTTTTCGTTTCGTTCTCACTGCCTCGTTGCGTTTTCACCGTGGAGGATATTACGCGATCCCGTGGCATTATGCCGCGCGATAGGAACCCAAGCGATCAACTGGAACAACGAACGATAAAAAGGACATTTCGCGAAGACCGCGAACAATGGGGAAAATAAATGGAACGCAACGTCCGATTTATCTTCGAGAATACGAAAGAATTCAAGGAATCGATTATTAACGTTTACGCGTACGAGAATGAAACATGAGGGGGACGATTCAATTTGTATGGTTTGATGTTTTATGAAACCTCGGGGCGCACGAACGAGACGTACGTGTAATTAGAATATAAGAGAATAAGCGTGTAAACTTACGGGTGCCGGATAATGCAGCCACGCGAGAGGTGCAATTTCTCGGGGCGTAATTAAGAAAAACGAAAAGGCGAGGAACGTCGATGACGCTGGTATCATTAAGTTTCCTCTCACCCAGCGTTCTACGTATAATGAGCCTCTTACGCCACACACGATATTACCTTAGGATACACGGCGAAGAATATAAGTGTGACGCGTTTGATGCAGGAAGCGGTACTCCCGATAAAAAAGAAAACGACCTTCCTAGCGATCGGTTAAACGAGCATCGGGCTGGTATTTACGTCGACCGTTATTGGCCGATCAAATTGGCTTCGGATTATCCGCTAAACATCGATTCGTTCGCCTCGAAACCGTTTAATACGCGGCTCGTACGGTTTTACCCTCGTACACTTTCGATTTTCTCGAACGACCGCATCGATAGCATCGACTACGTCGCTAACCTCTGATCGTCCTTGGAATGCAGCTAGTTTATCGTAAACAACGCTGGTCGAAGGTTCGCGAAGCGAGTCGCGCGGCACGCGGTGAAACGCAGATGGTTTTCAAAAAAAAATTTGGAAACCCGACGAGCGACGGGCGGAATGATCCTCCTACCTGTTGAATATCGTTCCCCGAACTTCCTACAGCTGATCCGTACGGGCCTCGCGCGCACACACAAATTCACTGCACCGACGAAACGGACCCCGATGGTTCTCAAGTCGACGACGTCATCTCGTCCGATCGGGAAAACAAAGTCACTTGCTCGGAACGAGTTCTCTCGACGGAGACGAAACGTGTGCACCGCGATCGATCGGGTGAACCGACGATGATTCACTTGGACCGACGTTCCACGGACGCGACGGTTCTCAGAGCGTGGCCATTTCGAGGTTATCGGAGGAGTGGAGCGTTTGTGGAAACGACAGATAGAAATCGGTTGGATTTCGACAGGTGGTGGCCGTGCACGAGGATCTGGCAGCGAGAAGGATGCGACGGGGCCACGTCCAAGACTGACTGTTGAGGCTCGGGTTCGCTCGACTCGGCTCGACTCACCTCGACTGCATGGCATTGCAAAGCAGCCGCGAGCGAAAACTCACTTTACGCTCCCGCGGCCCCTTACGTTTGCCCCCCGCTATTACCGACCGCCTGTTCGCCTGCTTTCTTAAGGCTGCCCGGCCTGCTCGGTTGCCTGAATACCTGCCTGGTCTCCGCGCTCCCTTTCCCCTACATTTTCTTCCGACGGTGCCACGGGACTTGACGTCTTCTTGCGCTCTGGCTCCCTCTGACAGCGACTCCGCACGACATTCGGGTCACCGATTCGCCTACGATTTTCTGTGCACCCGTGAACCGACGCGGGATCGATTATATTCTATTTAACCAGCGGATTCGATCGGTTATAATCTCCCGACTAGAAACTCGGAAAGGTGGGTACGAGGGAAGTAGATTATGCAGTATTTAATCAGACCAGTTAACCGATTTCTCGTCAATGTGGACAGTGCGTAAGTAAAGTTGCGATTGAGAGGTTAGGACGTAGAATTGTACCGAACTATTTACATTCTTTTGTGACTAGGTATACGTTACGAATGTACATGATCAGTTAGAATTTCTAAAGGAACACGGTTTGAGAATTACTGCAATAGGGAATGCATATTCGTGCGTAGGAACAGTCGGTGATCGTAGTAGAGAGGATATTCAGCATTCTTGACTTTACGACAGCCGTTTCATGCGGCTACAAAGTACTGAATTCGAATGTTTCAAGGGGCGGAGGGGAAATAATCTGCGTTAAAGAAGCACGGAGTTGTGTACTTGTCCGTGTATAGTACGCGTTTGTAAATAAATTGTTCAAAGGATGAGGCTCGATCCTTTCGCAATTTACTTCGTATGGGTGAAACGAAACGTGCCAAACTGTTAAGTGTACACGATGGACGATTAAGATAAACCGTTTAGGTCGTAAACTCTTGAATTGTTAAACAAACGTACAGGTTGTTTAAAAAATGGACGACCAAACTTTGCTGTCGTATTTTACCTCTTCTAATTAAATCTCGACGACAAAATCTTTAACCGGTTGTCGTGTACTATTTGCCATCAATTTCATAGTTATTTTGCCAGACGTCTTTATCAAAGAGCTTGTTGAACAACAAATATAAATCAAAGGACAAACATGTTTTTCAAATCTTTAAAACGCGATGCGTAAATAATTTAAAAAAACCCGCTGTCTTTTTTAACGTTAACCTCACTTTTTTCCGATTCCTCGTTTACATTTTTAATAACTTTCGGCTCGTTTAGTCAACAGACCTTCTTCGAGTCCCGTAAATCAATAATTCCGCGAAATTATTCACCGTGTTACGAAAGCGTTTTGCCTGCCGTGCGACAAAAAACAAACTGGTTTCGATTTCCAATTTATTTGTTTGTTTTGTCGGACAAAACGATTTTGTCGCCGACATCTAATTAGGACGCGGCTTAAGGATGAAAAAAGTTGACGCAAACATAGGCCCAGAAATTCTTTTCTCTCGAGATGTAAACACTTTTTGTTCGCGATTATTTTAGTAACTTTGCGTAGACCGTTTCCAGAGACTGTCGACGTCGTTTTGAAGTTACTGGTGCATTGCGACTGTCACACGCGGAAAGGAAAGATCTTTCGATAGAGACTCTGCCCACTCGGGATTAGAATAAGCCATCCTAATAAGACCGCCTTAACTATTAACCGTTCGGATAGAAATTGATATACTACGACATAAACTGCTTTCAATATCACCACGATTTGCTCTGCTACAATATTTACATCTAACAGAAGAGAGTGTTGACATAACCTATACAGGGTGTTCGACCACCTCTGGGAAATATTTTAATGTGGGATTCTAGAAGCTAAAATAAGACCAAAATCAAGAATACCAATTTGTTGATGAAGTCTTTGTTAAAAAGTTACTAACGTTTCAAGTTCCGCTCGTAGTGAATTTTTTTCTTGAAAATGCGTAGGATTTCGGGGGTATGTCTATTCGCCAAAAATTATTGTAATTGACCCCCGCAACCGAAAATAATTTTTCCAGAACGATTTGAAACTTTTCAATTTCACCGAAAAGTTTGGTCACCTTTTCGAATTTTTTCCTCGAAACTGAGTAGGATTTCGGGGGTATGTGTAATGACCGAAAATGATTGGAACTGACCCTTGCAATCGAAAATAATTTTTTCAGAACAATTTGAAACTTTTCAATTTCACCGAAAAATTTAGTGACCTACTCGAATTTTTTCCACGAAACTGAGTAGGAATTCGGGAGTATGTCTATTCACTAAAAATGTTTGTAATTGACCCCCGCAACCGAAAATAATTTTTCTATGACGATTTGAAACTTTTTTTTTCGTCGAAAAATTTAGTCACCTAATTAGATTTTCAGTAAGGAATTTTTATCTTGAACGTGCGACAGTCTATTATAAAATCCATGAAATCGGCACAAGGATTCATATTTGAAATCTTTCGAGAGCAAGAAGTAGCAACGGAATGATAAAAATTCGTTCGTTATAAAATTTTAGCAAAAAAATTGACCATCGATCGTGGACGTAAAGAATGTCAAAGAACGTGTCATTCCTTCGTTACATCAAGGATTCCATGCTTGCCTTGAGTTCTGTTTTTAAAACCTGTATCTCATAGTACGAGGCATAACGTGAGAGATACGAACAAAAATTGAATTATTCACGTAAATATGACCATGAAACGACCGGCGGCCGACTTGTCTGCCGGTTCAAATTTGGAAATCGTAACTGTAATCAACAAGGTTACCAGGTTACGTTGCAGGCAACCGAATTTCTCCGAATATCGCCTAAAATGGCGGCAACGGAGGCATGCGGTTCCGTAAAAAAAAGAAAAACGTTTGAACGACCTTGGAAACTCGAAAGACACAATCGTCGAATTCGCTGGCGGAAGAACAACTTTCGAACGACTAATTAGCAATCCTAAACAAGCTACTTTTATTGACATTCCGCGACACTTACGTTTTAAGTCATTCCTCGGAGTAAACACGCTTATTAAAACATAATTTCAATAATACGTATTAATACCACGTATTAATTATTATAAACAATGCGTAGTAGCATACAGGAGCCACGGTTTATCCGCCATCGCGATCCATAAACTATTTACTATTTTACAAAATGGCCTTGTCGTGTTTTCGAAAATAAAACGCGATCGTTGTATTTCACGTGGAACGGAAAAATAAATACCGATGGGAACGCCGATACTCGATCGGCGAAGGAATGTTCCCGAGCAATGGAGTCGTAGGTTCGCGGCGAAAAGAATAAATCGTAAAATTTGTTACCCGCCCAACGAGTTTGCGTTTTCTGATCGCGAAAATTTATGCAATTCAGCCTTCGCCGCGGATCAGTATTCCGATATCGTCGATACCACTGCGCGCCGGTATCCTTCGAACGGAAACTAAATTTCATTCAACCCGTTTCTACTCCACGTAGTAAGCGTGTGCACGTCGAGAGCATGAGTAGGTAGCGAGGGGATCGATACAATACGTATTAACGGTATTCGAACAAACTAACGTCAAAGAAGTACTTTAAGTAAACTATAGTTCGTATCTAAATTTGCTTCTCTATATTATCGATAGAAAAATCGAAATCTGTGCGTTTGTCATTCCCTTAGAAATCCCTAGGAGACTCTGTTTTAGACACCAAGCTATTGAGTGGTTGGTCGAGGATCGTATATATAAAAACAGAAGGTCGATCGATTGCTTGCGAGAGAGTCAAGAGCGTGGCCCTCTAGCGGCGAGTACGGGAGGTGTTCATGCCATGGTAGTATCGGTACGGTGTTAGTCCCATCGCTAGCCACGGACCGTGTTTATGCCGGAGCCTGTTCTTTTTAACTCGCGGTCTGCAAGAGCAAAATCGCTCGATCGGAATGGAAAGCGAGCAAGGCTCGGGCACGCGGCCCGCAGCATGGGCGAACAGTGTTAATTCGCGCCTTAGGCTGCGTGTAGATTGCTCTCGAGCGACTCCACCACGCGACCGTTCCGTATCGGTCCGCCATTACCCGGTCTACCATTAAACGGAATCGTATCGAACGCAGATAACATCCAATCCGTTTTATATCGACATGCTGGCAATGCAGGGGGAACGATAAAAGGATCGCCGGATACTTTGGGCGTAATTCGATGATAACCGTGGCTCGAGGAACGCGTATAATGCAAATAGTACAACCTGCAGTATTTAGAAACACTGTACATACCATACATACATCTGTAAACACTGTAGTATGTTATTATCCGTCTTCCGTCAATATTACTATATTTTCTAGCTAATTAAAACCAGTCGAGATAGGTAACGACGTGTCACTGTCTATTACGATTTTTCTAAACGTAAGTAGATGTAATGATTAATAGACAAACGGTTGGTCGAGTCGTAGTTAACACGTTAGCTGTTACGCCAGTCTTCCGTGTCTTCGAGACGTCCTGCATATTTGTATAGTCACGTTACGACGTCACCTCCCGTACACGCCACCAGAGGGCTACGCTCTTGTCTCTCTCGCAAGCGTTCGATTAACCCTTTTGTTCCTATATATATACGCTCTTCGACCAGCTACCCAATATCCTGTCGTCCTCTGACAGGCTCTCCGGGACTTTTTACACCACGCAAAGCGCGCCACAATCTCATAAAAATTCAAATATATATAAGTCATATAGCAGAATATTGAAACGAATTAATTTGCGCTCGTCGAGTTGCAGAACACGTGACTCAGAGATATCCGTAGGCTTTGGAACTTCGTAGGAAAGAGCGAGACAGCGAATCCGAGACGGAAACGCATACGCAATAATGGCGTCAATATCGATGTCACAGTAATTAGTGTTTACATTGTCGAGGAATCCGGATTCCTAGCGTAGATACCGAAGATCGTAGATCTTAGACGCCGAGACCGATGATGCCACGCGTGTGGGATGCAACACAGATGCCAGAGGTCTGCAATTCTATCGACTCCTCCACATTTAATGGGGATCGGTGTCGACGATCGCTCGTAGGACCCCGCTATTACGTACTACGAACTTGTAATGCAACTCCGAGTCGGTGAAACCCGACAGGAATGACCCTGGATCCGTGTAGAATCTCCTGCACGAGAGACTGGTAGAACC